ACCCATGAGGCCCGAGGGCTTAATTTTTTGTATTTTAGAAGAGGACAGGGTTTCGCATATTGGCCAGGGTGTTCTAACTCCTGACCTCCGGTAATCTCCCGCCTCAGCGTCCAAAGTGCTGGGATTACAGGCGTTAGCCACCGCACCGGGCTTCACTGGCAATTTAAGACACCATTCTGTCCAACCATTCTAAAGGTTATGCTGAAACTACTTCATGATGTGAACGATACATCCTTTGACAAATCAAGTCAGGCCTATGGCATCGTCATTAAACAGTCCTGACCAGCTGGGCACGGTGGCTCTCGCCTGTAATCCCAGCACTTTAGGAGGCTGAGCGGCGGGGATCATTTGAAGCCAGAGTTTGAGCCACCCTGGCCAACATGGTGCAACCCCTTCTCTACTAAAAATACAAAAAACTAGCCAGGCATGGTGGTGTGCACCTGCAGTCCTAGCTACTCCAGGAGGCTGAAACAGGAGAATTGCTTGAACCGGGAGGCAGAGGTGCAGTAAGCCAAGATTGCACCACTGCAACCTCTCGTCTCAAAATAATAAAAAAGGTTCTGACCTTGGACCTAATTACTTCTTGGGAAAACTTATTCTAAGGTAAAAATCGAAAGACAGGAACCACGCATAGTAATAAGGCTGTATTTCCTTAAAATATATACTTAAGAACCTTTTACCCACTCCTAACACCCAGAGATTCCAGGATGCAGCTCAATGCATAGTCAACAGACTGCCAGGGCTGCCAAATGCCAGCCCATCTCCACCTGCTTCTAGATGCGACCCTGAGCGGCCGATGAGCTAGGGAAAGAAAGTCAGAGCCAGAACAGCAGCACAGGAGGAGAGTGGCAGCTCAGCCAACCAGACCCCAGCACAGGCTTCACATTCTCAACCATGCTGCATCCAGAGAACAGCTGCAGAAAGAATGTACAGGAACTTTATATTCACACCTAAATATGTCTTATGAGACTGGCTGGACCTACATTTTTCAAAGCTGCAACAACAACAACAACACGTTTTATATTTTCAATTACATTCAGAAAGTATTCTAGATTATGCCTTTTAAAAGCAAATAAGGTATACATAATGGTTAAAAGGTGAATGTTTTCCCCCTAATGATCAGGAACAAGACCAGGATATTCACTCTCACTATTGTATCTATTCAACACTGTACTTGAGGTTCTAGGCAGTGCAATTAGAAAAAAACAAACATCTCATTTGGAAAGGAAGAACTAAAGCAAATCTCTATTTGTTGTACAGAACATCTTCTATACAGAAAATCCTAAGGGATCCACGTAAAAATTATTAGAACCACAATAAGTGAATCAAGCAAATGTGCAGGAAACAAAACGAATATACAAAAGTCAACTCTGAATATTGCTCACTAGCAATGAGCAATCCAAAAATGAAATTAGGCCGGGCACAGTGGCTTACGCCTGTAATCCCACCACTTTGGGAGGCCGAGGTGGGTGGATAACTTGAGGTCAGGAGTTCAAGACCAGCCTGGTCAACATGGTGAAACCCCACCTATACTAAAAATACAAAAAATTAGCTGGACATAGTGGTGCGTGACTGTAATCCCAGTTACTCGGGAGGCTAAGGCAGGAGAATTGCTTGACCCTAGGAAGCAGAGGTTACAGTAAGCCAAGATTGCACCACTGCACTTCAGCCTGGGCAACAGAACGAGACTCCATCTCAAAAGAAAAAAAAATTAAGTTAGCAAAGCAATTTCATCTAAAATAGCATCAAAAAGAATAAAATTCTCAGACAAAATTTTAACAAAAGAAGTGTAAGACTTGTGTGCAGAAAACTACAAAACATTGTTTAAAAAAAAAAATTAAAGAAGCCAGCAGGTGCAGTGGTTAATGCCTATAATCCTAGCACTTTGGGAGGCTGAAGTGGAAGAATTGCTTGAGGCCAGGAGGTTGAGACCAGCATGGGCAGGGTCCTGCTCTGTTGCCAGGCTGGAATGCAGTGGCATGATCTTGGCTCACTGCAACCTCCGCCTCCTGGGCTCAAGCGATTCTTGTGCCTCAGCCACCCAAGTAGCTGGGATTATAGGCGTGCACTACCACACCTGGCTAATTTTTGTATTTTTAGTATAGATGGGGTTTCACCATGTTGATCAGGAGATTCAGGATGGGGTCTTCGAACTCCGGACTCAAGTGATCCACCTGCTTTGGCTCCCAAAGTGCTGGGACTACAGACGTAAGCACTTACGCCAAGTCAAAAAATATATGTTTTTTAAATTAACCGGCACAGTAGTGAATGCCCGTGTAGTCTCAGTCACTCGGGAAGCTGAGACAGGAGGAATGGCTTGAGCATAGGAGGCTCGAGGCTACTGCAGTGAGCTATGATCATGCCACTTCTCCAACCTGGGCAACAGAGTGAGATACCGTCTCTAAGAAAAAAAAAAAAAATTTTTTTTTGAGACAGAGTTCCGCTCTTGTCACCAGGCTGGAGTGCAATGGTGTGATCTTGGCTCACTGCAACTTCCACTCCTGGTTCAAGCCATTCTCCTGCCTCACCCTCCCAGGTAGCTGGGGATACAGGTTGTCCACCACCACACCCAGCTAATTTTGTATTTTTAGTAGAGACGGGGTTTCACATGTTGGCCAGGCTGGTCTCGACTCCTGACCTCAGGTGATCCACCTGCCTCGCCTCCAAAGTGAGCCAACTGTACGTGGCCTTCTAAGAATTTTAAATTAGGAAAAAGAAAGTAATGAGAACTAAATAAATGGAAAGACACCCATGTTCATCGATC